TTCCAAAAGTAACAGTCGAGGTAGGTTAAAAAAAGACAAACAAGAAGGGAAAAATTATGGTCACTAAGGGTGTAGTTTCAACAAATCCTTCACAAAGTGTTCCTGTTAAGGAATTAGGCTTTGAACTTATATGTTCTTGCTTTTGAACTATAGTGAAATTTGTTTGAACATTAAAATGCTATAAGTAAACATGCAATATACATATTATGAAATAAGAAAGAAGGATGAACTAGAGTTCAAGCATGAATTGATTAACTTACCCGCAGGCATAAAAAGTTAAGAGCATGTACAATGCAAGTTCTCTTCCATTGTTCTCTTCAAAATAGAATAAAGACAGAGCTTTAACCCATTAGGGCCCAACTAGAGCCATGTTCTAAAAGAGAGTTCTCTCTGTTGCTTGGAATTTGCACCTACCTACGTTGGATGATGCAATTCTCTGCCTGGCAGCCGTTAGATCATTTTAATGAAAGTGCTTAAAGATGATGTGATGTTCTATTAGGTGTTATATTTGAAGATTAAATATTTAAAATGTGAATTTATATAAAATAATATTAATTGTGATGGTGTGGCACTAAAGTGAACTTTTGTATTGTTCTTTATTGTACATGTTATAAGGAATCATATTTTGAACTTATATGTACTTTCCTTTAGTCATATCACAATCCAATTTTCAACTTCAAAGAATCTTTAAAATGTCAAGAATGTTTTGAAAATCATAAAAATATAAAATTTGGAAAATGGAATAAAAAGACAGTTTTAAATAAATAAGTCCAAATAAATAATAAATAAATGAAGAACGGACTTAATGAAAAGACTTACAAGGTTTCAATTTGCTTTCAGGGGCCAAAAACGATACAAGAAGAAGTTATGGGGCCAGAGTAGAAAAAGGGTAAAGGTTTAAGGCTGCAATCTGTCTCCAAGTTAAACTATACCGCTTCACAAAGTGGGGTTAAGAAAGACTCGAGCTCATGGAAGGGTCCCCTTAAATGGAAATCGATCCCTTATCTCATTTGATTTCTTTAAATTTTTTATAGTTCGGATGAAAATTCTTTGTTCATATGCCTTTAGCTTTGGAGTGGTGTCATGATCTTGGATGTGTTTGGAATTTATGTTTAATGTTCTGTTTAATGTCCAGTTTGTGAAAATATTTTGATGAAAATGCTCTGTTCCTCTTGAATTGTTAGTTTTTGCTATTTATTACATTGTAGTTCGGATTCCATGCTCTGTCTTCTTATTTCCAGCGCCTTCTATGTGTCCTGGTACTATTAGTGGTCAGTTCTTCGGTTTCTTCAGTTTATTCCTTGCCTCTCATGTTTCTAGTTTTCTGGCTCTTTCTTTGTTGGATTCTTCTTGGTTCAATTCTACAGAAACGCGTAAATATTATATAAAAGAAAAAGAGCCCAAAAAATAAGGATATCTTGACATTTAAGACATCTATCACAGTTATTTATTAAGTGAATTTTAAAAATAAAATTTACCTATGAATAACTATAATAGACATATTAAACGATCACAACCATTTGTTGAGTAAATCCCAAGGGTAGGGTGTACTCACAGATAACTGTTAAAAACGTCTTAAGTGCCAAGATGTTGTAATTTTTATATTTTTGTAAAAGAAATCTGGAAATTTTGGGGATTTTGATCTATTTTGCACCCATTTTTTGTGCCGGGTCAAGTTTCCTCTTTGGTTTTGGACCGGGTCTCGGGTCGTGAGTTAGATCAGGACTAAGGTTACGAAAATGGGGCCAAGTCTTGTAATTGGGCTAGGATTAGTTATTGTTGTTTAAGGCTTATATAGGTTTGGATTTTGCTTGATGGGCGTCATATAGGTCCAAAGTAATAAAAAATAAATAAAACATATAAATAAATTAATTCAAAAATACAAAAAACCAATATAGAAAAAAAATTGATACCAGAGCAATTCTCCCTCAGAGATACGAGGCCATA